AAACCACTTAAAGGGATATAAAAGATACAAAATTGTCGACGGAGTAGTCAACAATTCTTAGTTCATTAAAAACGATAAAAAACATCATATCTCCGAGAAGGACGCTCAACTTTGTCTTATAAAGTTTTCTAAAGAATAAATTATTGCATGGGGTGAATGAACCTTTGTTCTATTTGATGATCGATAGTAATAAACTACGAATGCTCACTATCAGTTATATTGTTGATAATTGACCATAGATGATATGATTATTTGAAATTGAAACTTACCTACAATAGTAAATATTCCCTACATTGAACTCTGAGCTCCGAATCTCCATTACTTTAGTCAATTTAAATAAAATCCTGATACTTTTTTTTAAATTATCTAATGCTGAAAACCAGCCCTGCATACTCCACTTTCCATGGCCAGCTCACAGCATTAAACATATAACATTATTACTATCATCAATCAAACTCAGTGAAAAAGAAAAAGTGACACAAAAAAGTGTGGGAGAGCCAAGCTTCGGCACGAATGGGTCGGCTCGACCGGAGTGATACCACGTCCTCACAGAAGACCAGCGTGAAACAATTTCAGCGTTGTGTTTCGCCGTGTGATTGAGGTTACCGGAGGCCCAATCCACTCGTAACTCCTCCGTTGCGGGTTTCCATGGGCGGCGCTAATTGCTTACCATCAGGTAATCCGTCTGCTCGTTTGCCGACCTATTACATAAAAAAAAACTCACAAAATAGAAAAGAAAGGTAAAAACCGCTATAGTTACCTACATACCAACTACATAGACAGACATAGAGAAAATTATAGGTATATCAAGAACCGTAACATACTTTGTGATTAAGTTTTCGTGGAACAGATTGAAAATAAATGTAACTACGTTACCAAATATCGTGATATGGCATGTTAAAGGCTACACGTACACACAAGAAACAAGACTTTTTTTCTATTATAACGTCGAATTAATAATAACCTTCTCGTTTGCAATAGGTAGTCGGCAACATACAATATTCATGTATTAGGTTTTGTATTTCTTCACATCGTTGTTAGATGCAGATATTTTGACAATGACTGTACCATGTGAAATGTTAATTTAAACCATATAAGTATAATGTATAAAATATGTTAGTTAGCAACTTAGAAGTTTAAGCGGCTATCCGCACTGTAAAGCTTATTAATTCACAATAATAATTCTATAACAGCCAAAAAGCCTAGGAAAGTATCAAGTAGGTTTAATGCCAATTTGTCGCGACGCGGTGCGAAAATATTGGCGCGCGAATTTTATTTCGCCATGTGGATACGTTCCTATTTAGCAACCTTGTTCGTCTGGATAATGACATGATTACTCCTTGCATAATTTGTCAACAACACATCTTTATGTGTAAAAATTTCGTGTCACGTGTTTGTCCTTTATATTTATGATAGGTTCTTTTGAAACGTCAAAAGTAGAATATTGTTATAGTGTCAGTCAGTATATCAGTGAAGCTAGGTGCTAGGTGTTCCAAAAAGTAGATTCGAATGAAGAAGAACGAGCAAGAAACTCCATTAATTATTATTTTTTATATTATAACATAAAAATGACGTCGGAAAATAATCACCCTGTCTTTTAAAATCGCCCGTTGTACATAACTATTACAGCCTATTCTTTGTAGATTTGTGATCCCGTGTGCAACAAAGTATATGCTAAATAAAATACAATTCCTTAGAGAAAACAGAAATATATACGGGAACTTTTGCCGTTAAAATAATCTATTCCTGAATAGGTTCTGCTTCTAGGACAACCTCATTACACACCCAGTCACTTAAGTTGATATTTAAATCAATTTACACCTTTGATATGCGACAAATGCAAATTACACTCAAATACAATTTACATGAATAATAATTTATAATTAACAAATTATTTGTATATTTTATGATGGTACCGTGTCTGCGTACCCCTCGCAGTCTCCCCTAGTAATTGCAGTACTAAGTGCACAACGCATAATCTGAGACGCAACCGATGTACAGTCGCCGACAACTGCGTTGAACATAAATAATGAACGTTTTTCTACAAACTATTTTTGTAATGAGTGAACATAGATAAAAGTAAAAAATTCTTAAATTATTTAATAATTTTAAATTTATATATCGTTTAAAATCAATTCTAATATAATATTATAAAGTGTTTTTTTTTTCGAATTAAAACTACTGGTACGTAGAAATATAAAAATATTGTTTAATCGCGGAAGTTTTAAAGTTAATATTGCAATAAATAGTTAGAGGTCGAGCAGCGTGTTTAACAATGAAGCTTCACAGACATATTGAACGGAAACAATATTATTATATCCTTAAATACATTTATTTTTATTTATTCCTCCGTGATATTGAGTCAATAACATCGAGTATATCTATGAATAACACTTTTTGCCAACATAATAAACGTAATAGTAAATATCGTTTCTGAAAGATTACATTAATTCAAATCCAATCTAATTTTAGTTTACTTGTTTGTTAGGTTGACATATTTAGCTCCTAACCGTTCTGTCGCCGAATTCACTAGCGGCCTAATCGACCGGTCCCCGTATCTCTGTGACATTTGATACAGTCAGTCGGGATCATGTCGCCGTTCAACCCTAAAACGCGCGACTGATGAGTAATAATAGCAGGGATTAGACCGGGACTAATGCCTTCAGCTTTTAGTGATAAGTTTCGTTGGGTTTGCATCTCTCTGATGTATTTTCAGAGAGATATATTAGTTCTGACGTAGATATTACCAATAATAAATGTATTAGTTCTACTTTTAGTTTGTATGAAAATAGTGTATTTTAATGACAATGCTTTGGAAAAGGAAAGAGATGGTTTATACCTAATAAAAAAATTTTGGTAACAAATACTCTATTTTGTATAGTTCCTTCGCAAGACCCATTGAAAGAGATGACTTACTCACGTGTCTTAATGAGGAGGTCTCGACTAGTTTCAAATCAAAACAGGGCTCTTATTTGAAGCAAAGCGCAACGTGTGACTGGATTCACGAGATAAAATCGTTATTTTCAATAAATTCAGAAAAAAAAATCACAACAAAATCGAAAAAGTATTAATCCAAGATATTGAGAATATTGAAAACAATTATATAAAAATAATTATAACGTATTTTTTAGAAAAAAAAAAATGAACGTATAAAATATTATTCTCGTCAAACTTCTCTCTAAAGTTTCCTATGACAAAAAACAAATCGTCATCGGATACAATATTGAAGATCCCTCGCACTTTATTGTTACAATGACATTCGCAATTTAAACTATGACAGTAATAATTGTTGTTTGACAAGGGCTCTGACTGCACAATTGAATTAAGCTGGACCCCTGCTTACTCCCCTTTGAATGTTATATCTAATTGATTAACTTATGCTAGTTCATCAGTTTATTTTCTCCATCGAGTGAGTATCGAATAAACGAGCGAATGACTAAAGTTATTTTCGATGAACCGATAATTGTAATTGAATTTCGAACAGGATTCGTTTAAATAGTGAATTTTTTTTTTGGAATATGTTCTAAATACAAAATTAAATAATAGAACATGGAAAATAAATAAAAGAAAGGGACAGACTTTTTTTATATTAACTTTTTTTTAATTAATTTAAGAGCAATGAGATTGATTACTAAACTCGATGACTGATTATAAAGATGAAGCATAAATTTCCTTAAAAGAGTTTCTATTTGCATTTCAATCCTAAATGTAAATACGAAATATTATTGTAGCAATTTGCATTGTCTGTTTCCCAGTCAGTTCATAAACGAATAAGCTTTTAATACCTCGTCTGCTCTATTTAAAATGTCTGCCGTTATTATTTAGGTCGTATTTGACATTCGATAGTTTGTTGAACAAAGTGGCGATTTATTTTGTGTCAGAGAACATTTTTGTTATTCTTGATCTTGTTTGCTAACTTAGTCTTTGTTGAGTTTGTCGGTGATTGTACTCTTGTTGATTCTGTTTGAGTTTTCATGTTCTTTGAATTTTATTTAACTTTTGCTCTCTTAGGGAAATAGATATTATTATTCGTTTACATTTTGCTTCTATAGTATATCGACTCTGTTTTTTGAAAATGAATTTTGTTCAATTTGAAACATAACATACCAAAAATTACACGATGCTAAACTCAAAATCACTGTTTTAATTACACAAAAAGGTTTTTCTTATCATTCGATATCCCTATATATATGCAGCATTATGAAAAAAAATACAAAATTCTATTATCTGCGACACTTAACCCTTCCCAGCCGTTGGTGCTCCGCGACAAATTATGCGACGCTTCGTATATCAAGTGGGCACTTGTTAGCAATTACAATGAGGGGTTATGCGAACTAATGGCTTCACTGAGGGCAAGCACAACAACCTTCAATTCCCACGCTCAATTGCTCCGGATTATATTTTCGATGTCCAATTTTGGACACATCGTTGTTTAGGGTTGATTGCTTTTTTATGACGGCAACCTTACACCTAGTGTCAGTCATTATATTTCTTTTTTTTTTATTAAGTGGCATTGATGTTGAATTTTAAAGGCACTAAAACAGTACTTGATTTAATTAACGTTCTTCAGAATGTTTTGCAAAAATATCTTCATCTCATTTTTATTCGCAAAACACAAAAAACTTTCACCTCACATGTCTACCGAGGAAAAACAACTACTTACAAATTTCTTTTTTTTTTTCTTAAAAAATCGTCGCCTTTTCCCCTTCGTGCGCCGCCTATTCCATTATCGCATCAAAACACGAAAACACGGAGAGCGAACAGAAACCGAATCGATTTAAGCCCACAAAATTCCAATGCAAACAAAATCACCGGGGGCCTGCCAAATAAAACTAGCAGACGTGCTTGCCAGTGCCAAACGAGCTGGCTTTGGCAAAACGGAGAACTAGTGGCGTTTTAAGAGGTCCGGCTCCATAAAACTGCCTGCTTGGAAGTCGGGCCGCGAACCGGGCATCTATCGGGACTCTAGCCTCAAGCCACATTTGCGCTTGACTTATGGAATGGGCTCAGACTTTTTAATGTTAAATGGTTTTAAGGTAAATTGTCTGCGGTTACAAGATTGGGATTTTAAGTGTAGGTTTATTGCAGTAAATGCTCAATTATTTGTGTGTTTGTGGTACCTATTACTTAGGTAGTAGCGAGGCATCCATTCGCCTCGGATGACTAGTTGCAAGCTGGACTTATAAACGACATAGAAATGGATCTTGTCTTTGAAAATATAAATATTTTTTTCATTTTTTATAAAGTAGTTTATTCTGATTAAATACTCAAATCGTTAGTAGTCGTAAACTTAAACCTAATTTAAGTTTTACTTCTCATAACATTAAAGTAGCAATAATGCTAACATTGCTCCAAATTACATCTAAAAGCAATACAATTGAAACCATGAACACAAAAACAACAGATAAATACGATTAGCCGGAACCTCTTCTATTTAAATACGCATATTTGCAATCAGCGAAGCATTTAATCCCGTACTGTAGGTGTAGGGATTCAACAAATATCAATTACGTTGACCAATTGAATTTCAAGTCCGGTTCGGACTCGGGATCCGGGTGTAAACGCGGCGTAAAATAACAAGTCTGGGACTAACTCATGGGTCAGAATTTCTCATAAATTATTTAAAATAATCCGGGAAAAACCCCTGTCCGCGGCAACCTAAGGTAGTTGTATTTTATTTATGTATTTACGATCCACATATACCATTCCAAATTAGCGCCGGTAAAGGACTGCGTTGTGTGTGCGTTAATTTTCGTCATCCCGTGACGAAATTAATTTTTCGTGTAATGTAATTATGAAGGGACTGTTTTTTTAACGCATAGCTGATTAGGATGTACCTATGTGTGCTTAGTATTATTTCGTTGGTTTCGTATAAAATATTTAAGTGTTTATTTATATGGGTTAGTATCTATATCATTCTCGTCGTGTCTTGTAATTTCTCTGTAGTTAAGAACTATGTATGTAGATATTTTTGAAAATATATAGTAGATGAAAATCCATTAGGAGTAAACAATTTATCTAGTCTAGTATATGGAGTTAGGCTTTATACCTTGCATGCTTGCGTTAAAATTGTAGGTAATTACTTTTTAATTTATAGTTTAATAGCTTACTGGCTATGTAAATACAAATGTTTAGCAATGCATGAAGTATTTATAAGATAATCAGATTATTATTCTAGTTAGCATGTCATCGATAAGTTACGACAATATTTTATACCTTTAAAATTGATTTTCGTTACGTATACCTACGTTAAATATGGTATTGTACAATTTAATAAATGTCACATTGAATTAATAATTAGTTATAATGAATAAAAAGTGCTTGAGATTAAGTAGTGTTGTGTCTTTCCTTTTTAGTTTAAGCGTTTGAATATCTACCAATTGTAGCATGAAAAATGTGTTTTTTTTTTTATTATACTTGACTTCTTAAATATTAAAGCATGTTTTTAAAAATTATGATTATAATAAAAAATATATTTTCAAATGTCTTTCTTTTATTACACTATAAAAAGCGATCATAAAAGAAAAACCGATTTTTTAACTTTTTTAATCCACTATGCATGAAGTTCCTTTATATAACGTCCTTTTTATTTTCTGTTCTTTCTTCTCTCCATGCTTCTTCATCTAGTGTAACCAATTTAGTCCAAAATGACCTTCCTCTATCACTCAGAATACCTTGTCAAGTCTAAAGAACCAACTTTTCAACCTAAAATGGCTTCTTGTTCTTAAAATCTTGCCTTTTTTAACCAGGGTGACCTATTTGGTGGGCTGAACGATGGTCTACTGAGCAGGGCGGAGGCGTTGGCAGCGGTGGACATCAGCAAGCACCAGTCGGGACCACAACCGGGGCCTCCACTTCCTCAGCTCAAACATGACATGGTCTACCATCATGGAGTAGGGGGCCCGTCACCACATAACGCAAGACCACACCAGGTAACGTACCTACCTTATGCTGTTCTAATTTTCAAAGATTTTTTCGTTTGGAAAGGAACTTTTAAAGGTGACTGAACTGTTTTACTTATGACCTGTTCCAATTTTAAAATGATTTTTTTATGTTCGGAAAGAGGTTTCAACTGTTCTCTGAACTGTCTTTAACGGCTTTGGTTTTGAATACTTTATTTATTTAAACTTTATGCAACAAAACATTACATAGGCGGACTTAATGCCGTAGGCATTCTCACTACCGCAGAGAGAGTATGGTAGGTGCAACAAGAAGAGAACTTTGAGAAGATAAATTAAGATTAAAAAATACAACAAGAACACTAAAATAAATATCTATATATATATAGAATAATATAATTATACTGGTATATGGTGGTATGGTTAATAAAATAAATACTCAATACATACTCTATATTCTTACATAAATACTAATATATGAATAGTAAAAGTAAATATATGAATAGTATTATACACAGTAAATACATAAACATAAGGGTTTTATGATGATGGTTCTAATAACAGTCCATTCGAAATGTGCCTACGCTATTCAGCCTTAAACGGTTGCTTACTGGTAGCCTTTACTAGTGATTGAAAAAATAATACACGCTATAAACATCCTTTTCTTACTTTCTTAGTGTTAACTAATTACATGTTTGAAGTTAGAGCTTCTATCAATATAAAGGAGATGCATTTTCCCGTATTCATGACGTTTGACGATTCTGAGCGTACCTATATAGAAGAATTACAATCATGCAGATACAGTTTTCCGTGTTCATTTATTGAGTTTTCAGGATTCTGTACTTTTTTATGTAAGAATTACAATAGTAAAGATACACTATGAATGTCTGGGTTCAAAAAGTATCTATATAACTAAAGTTATTATAATTTTGTTATAATTAAGACTACTAAATGGTTTAATCTGCATTTTTTTAAATTGAAATGAATAGAATATTAGATGTTTAAAACAATATTAGAATATTATTTTTTTAATCATCATCAGTCTGTAGGTATATAAGTGCTCACTGATAATCAAAGGCCTATTCTCACACGGAAAAGGATTGAACATTAATCTCCACGCTTGCAAAAGGCGGTTTTGTATTTATTATTATTCTATGATGCCCAGGTTACGTTACAATATTTTCCTTTACCGTTGGACTGTGTATCTAAATGAAACCTTATATAACAGCCCAAATAAAAGTAATTTTAATGTATTTGTGTACTTAAATGCTCTTAAAGTAATCTCAACTTTATATCCACAACAATAAAGCTTTCTATTACAAACCTAACAAATATATCATTTCGTACACTACACGCATCTGAATACTGTAAAAACACCCCTTCATAACTTGACGCCCTAAGGAAATCCATACATATCATACGGAATTGAGTTTAACATCAATAAAATTGAGATGATATCGTAAAGTCTATGAAGTTGTTCGCAAATACCACCGCTCTGCGCCTTGCTTCGGATCATAAAGTAACCCACGTCTATGGTGATTCGTATGGCCGGGTTGCATCATGCTTTTCATAGGGATTTTCGGTTTTCAAACATATACATAATAGGCAATGATGTTAGGTAGCTTGATATTTGGGTATTTGGGTCCGAAATAATTACCTATAATTAGTTGCATCATGCTTTTCATACGGATTTTCGGTTTTCAAATATATAATGTATGCTCAATGGTGTTAGGTAGCTTAATATTTAGGAATTTGGGTCGGAAATAAAAATAATTAGTTATGAATTAGTATTAATTTTGACTAGGAAAGGAATTTAATCAGTAATAATGAAAGTAGGAATTTGAGGATTTATACAGTTTGTGACGAGCACCTAGCTTCGCTGACGAGCAGACTGAGAGACTATTATTCTATTTTGACGTTTTAAAAGTACCTATTTATGTTTTATTTGGAACAGATGAGATTGACTTTGACTGTTTTTCTTTATTTTTTTTAAACATTGCCCCACACTAGGATTTTCTCCTGTATCGTGGGTACGGTTATAAACACACAATTACACATACACATGACACCCAGACTCAGAACAACAATTTGTGGATAACACAAAGAGTTGTTCCGTGCAGGAATCGGTGTCAGTTGCCCAGCCACCGCACCAACCGTGCAGTCTAATTGCCTATACTCAAGACAACCCTTTCTCCTTATAAAATTAAAAAAAAACTAATATTAATATGTGATTAGTGTCAACTAACATGACTGACACTAACATAAATCACATATAACACAACCAATACAAATTAAAGCAAGAGCATAAAAAAAGAAAACTAAGGATATATTAAATCAACATTTCCACTATATTTCTAACAAAATAACAAGGCAGAAACATAAATAACAATAACAGGTGCATTTCTATATGCGTGTAGGAAATCTCCAGATCTTTGGGTCCCGTCTCTAGGGACCACGAGGGGTTCGCGGAGGTAAGAAATATGGGCTCCGTACTATAAAAATGAACTAATATTATGCACTATACTCTGTAATGGCATATGGGTTTGTTTATACGATATCATATACCTATAGGGTACGGCTTTGTTCTCTATTGATGCAGTTTGCATTATTACTCGACACTGACGATATCATCTTTTTGTACCCCGTTTTGAATGTTAGCTTAGGGCTTTTATGTTCTAGAGTAAATGTTTATAGTAATTTTCGTGAGATGTAGGTAATCTTGTTCTTTAATGTGATTGTTCTAATTTTAAATTTATTGTTTATTTATTTAATGATTTATACACAAAACGTGCATAGGCTTAAAATTCGAGTTTAGATAAAAATATTTACCTACTTAATTATAAAATATTAAAATAAAAATCCAAACTAATTTAGGAAATAATCAAAAAATATCTTCTTAGTTCGATATGTTTTCATTTCATCTTTACCATTAAAATTAATTTATTTTAGTACATATCTGCTATACTATGTTCCTGTACCACCCAAAGGTAGGCTTAGAAGGAATACCTAAGGTATTAAATATTTAGTAATAATAAGTTTTATTGCATGTATTTTCCAGTGAAGGGTCACTGAAATACTAAAGACATATAAAGACATGACGATTAGATTTAAAAGTTCTCAACATTTAAAGTTTATAAAAATAAAATTCCTGATCGATTTACTACTAACCTAAACAGCAAGAATAAGTTGAAATGAAAATAAAAAAGTTTTATTATTTAAAGAAGACAGTTGTCGGTTCTAGTTTGTACACGAAGATGTTGATCTCATAAATTATTTATTAATATCTCTTGCTATAAGAAAAATAGTTTTTGATTCCCGCTCTGACGGAAAATGAACGAACAAAGGGTATACAGTTTTAAAGATAGGTACTTGAAATATCTGAAATGCCAAGATAAATAGGATCACGTGTCATTTGTCAAATGTACCATGTAGGTTAGTTGGTATGTTAGTTAGTTAGTATTAACCTTCTTTTAGGGAAAGGATTTAAAAGAAAATTAAAATATATTAAGGGTTGATTTTTCGAAAGTCAGATAATGTTAAAGTCTGTAAAGTTAAAGTGTATAAAGTCTTATGCAAACATTCTGACGCGACAGCATCATAATTATTCCCCAGATAACTTTTATCTAAACCATTGAAAAATCAGCCCTCAGTCAATATGTCAAATAAGGAAAAAATATTAGATATAAATTTAGTAACTTTTCGTTCAATAAAACAATACTAGAGAGGTAAAAACGAACTAAAGTTTTGAATTTGTGGATAACAAACTGCGTCAATCCTAAGTATAGATAGCACGAAAGTAATTTAGAAGTGGCGTCACGCGCTATTTCAAAACAAATAGGTATTTTCTTTTCTTTAGATAATTAAACATAATGCAGTGTCTAAAACTTTAAAATAATTGATTATTTGTTTGAGATCTTGATGGCAGACAAACCTTTTTGATTACAATATGTATAAATAATTATATATCTAAAGAAACCCGATCAAAATGTTATAGTCAAATTCAGACAAACCGTTTCGTATCTTAAAGAATCGTATTTTAAACAGTTTCATAATGTTTGTGTTGTCTAACTTATATCCCATACAAAAAAAAACATAAACAATAACCATAAATACTGAGTATCAATCAGGAAATAAAGAGGTAAACGAGAATGTACCAATATAATTCCTCAACCACATTAAATAATTTACTTAATTAATTTCTCGTAACTACTTTAACGCCTCTGATTATCGAAAATCGTATCAATTGGAAATTATTTTATATTTGACTTTAATAAGGATTCGTAATGAATACACGTACAGTTTACGTCCATATTTATGTCCGTTGGGTTGATTTTTCAATGGTTAGATAAAATTTATCTGTGGAATAATTATGATGCTGTCGCGTCAGAATGTTTGTATAAGACAATGACAGCAACAATTTTATTCCTCACATAACATTTATGTGACTATTGAAAAATCAGCCCTTCATGTCCTTGCCCTTCTACGCACCGATGGAATGCTGGTGCTAAATGTCTCCAGGATTTAATGGATGTTATTATACATGTAAATTTTCATCTCTAATCACTCTATCTATTTAAAAAGCCCCATCAAATTTCGTTGTCTTTAAGATTTAAGCATATCTGCATAGGCCTGTACGGACAGAGATGGCGACTTTGTTTTATACAAAGTAGTGAATTTTGTTCATGAAGGGTCTCTGGCTGACATAATTTTTCACTTATAGCGTTCTATATTAGCCTCAAACTTGCACGTCCTTTTATTTTTTCTTGTGGTTGTTACAAAAGCCGATTTAGCAACTAAATATTTGGCATAGACCGGACAGTAGCGTTTCTTTAGGCATCTGTACATTTTTGTGAGTAACAACTTGCTTGCAGCGCAAGCGTGTGCAAGTGGTATTAAATTTTATTGCATCACATCATAAGATTCAAAAAGTCCCGGGATGATCTACTAGTAAATGAGACATTCGAGATTGTCTATTTGCGCAAGTGATATTGTAAAGTGTTCTTTACGTCTCATCTTCAGACCGTCAGTGCACA